CTTTAACATCACTGTCCTCATACTTGTCGTGCTCCACGCTCACATACTTCTTTGCCTCACGTCTGTAGAGGTCTTTTTTCTGCATGAAGTCATACTGCTGCTTGCAGATACTCAACCTTCTTATTAACATAGCTTGAATAACTATTTCCCATAACTTCATGGGAAATACTTGATCCTCTTCTAAGCTGCCCTCATGTCATCAACTTTATCCATCTGTAAGTCAACTTCCCTCTCTCCTGGACACCTTCAAACCTCCACAGATATGTCATCTGGACCAGCTACCTTTCCACTCTTCATCCTCTGCTAAGCTGCCCTCACATCCTCCTCACTAATCTTCTGCACTTCCTGATTCACAAACTGTCTTCCTCTCTCATTTTCTTCATTCACTCCTTCCAAAGTACTCCTTCCATCATCTCAGCACACTCTCGTCACTCATTAGTAGATTTTTGTTAGGATTAATTACCCCAACCTGCTGCACGTCCTCTCCAGCTTCATATGCCCTGCCAATCAATACAAATCCTTTTCTCGCTCCTTAGCGTCCAGCCTCACATACAACTCATTATACACCTTTTCCTTCGAATTCTCTCTTGTACTTTTTCATTCAACCACCAAGTCTCCTTTAATGATAATAACAACTACAAAACCACCATCACCAACAATAATAATAATAATGATAATGATACGGAATAATAAGGAATGAATGAATCTAATAACATTCTAATAAACCCGGTAAAAGCAGCGTAATTAAGCCACCTTTTCTCTGTAAACATGTTGTAAAAACTTAGTCATATATTGATAGGTCATATATCCGATGGTGCAGTTTTAAAAAAAACACAGAAGAAGAATTGATAGGGTACGTCATAATTACTTAACTGTATTTCCACCAATAAAAAGCTATGGGGCGTGGCTGTTCCGCTCTATATACTTGTGGAAGCCGGTGTCTGTGAGTCATCGCCGCTCGGACAGACAACTTGCTTCGAATCGCTATTCAGAAGCCTCGCAGATTCTCTCGGATTTATTAGGAATCACGAATTTCTCTCTCATTGCCCGACAGGATTGAGATGTTACATTTTAGGTCCTCGACAGTGCTGAAGGAGTTGTTTGAAGCCACCCTCAAGCGTCCCTTTCCCGTCTACCGAGAGAAGACCTGGTTGCCGACAGGCTCCCGCTGCTTCTGCTGCCTCGGCGCCACCTCCGTTGATGCCAGAGCCACATCTGCTCCTCTGAAGCTCCTCAATGCCGCCGCGCACCGCCCGGCTCTCCGCACCGCGCCCCGCGCCGCCTCTCTCCGCTCCTACTGCGTGAAAACCGAAGCCGAGGAGGTAGAGGAGCAGCTGAAGAAGGATGGAGCCGCTGGCGAAGCGGACAGCGACAAGTAGGTTTCAGTAAAATCCTTCTAGAAGATCTCCGGGTTGCCCGCTGCCATGCCATGACGTCGCATCTGGCGTCTGTGCGTGACGCGATCGGATGCTGCGACCGCTAACCGACGCGAACACTTTTTAATGACCGCATTAAATGTCCCTTTATTTAAAATGTAAATGTTTACTTATTTTTTAAATGTGATTTTTACAGGTTTAACCCTTCATTTAAGACATTTTAAATAAACCGTAATAAATAAAAAATAAGCTAGCTTGTAGCCTGTGTGGGACATCAGTGGCTCTCGGGCCATGTGCGACGTGTTCGCTCCACCGGCTTCGTTAAAGGTGGCGATAAAAAATGTTCACGTCCTCAAATACTCCGCATCAGGGCACTTCCGCTCTACCGGGATTTTGAGTTGACCACGCCAATCTGTAAGTGTTGTCCTGTTAGCTGCCTGCCCCAGAGGAGATAATACTCAGCGGGGGCCAACAGTTGTGAAAGTGAAACAGCAGCAGGCCGTGAAGCAGAGGGTAAAAAGGTCCACACCGAGGCTTCAGGAGACCGGGTTCAGCTTCTCACTGAGCTACGATCATCCACATGCACGTGTTTTTATTTTAGTTTCGCTCGCTGTGACAAGGAGTGCTGCTGTGCTGGGGAGGAAGCAGAGCAGGTTCTAGTGGTTTCTACTGTGACCTTCACTAAGGAGGTCACATTTGGAGCGTTGCTGCTGCTGCTGCTCCACAGGTTATTTATGTTGAACTTAACAGACTCGATCAACTCCCTGTAGAAAACAAAACAACAAGAACAACAAAACATGTATTTTAACATAAAACCATTACAGCATTGAATGAAGGACACATTATGCTGTTTATATTTATCCACATCCAGTTAATGACGCATTACAATAGTCCTGCCAATTTTTTTCAGTTGATGGGCCTAGTTTTAGCGGACTATATCAAGTAGAAATAAAACCGTATCATTTAAAAATTAGATCTGCATTATGATTTTAAGATGTGTGTGACTCTAATAGGGCACAAAGTCTTCACTTCTGAGTATTTTAGGAAAGAAGAAAAGGTCATTTTAGTCATGTAAAGATGGGAAATACTGTAAAGTTTAAACATATTTCACCTCAAATAAAGTACAAAAGAAATATTTTGTTTAAAAATTGGAATTACTAATGACGTCTCTGCAGTTTTCACTAGTTTGGACTTCCTTGTGTTGCCATATGTTTGACCTTACACAATACCAATGCCACAATTTACAAACTGATGAGAAATGCAGGAATTTTTGGTGTCTTTGGTAAAAATTCACAAGTTTTCCTACTAAGTAGCAGCCCTGCAGCTGTCATCAGATAAAAAATGAAATCCTAATGACTGAGTCTTTTTTGGGGGGTTAAATCCACATCTGTGGCAGCCTCCAGCTGCCTGCCTGCAGCCACGTCGTTCCTTTTGCAGCGAGCTGGAAAAAATTCATGAGATATTTCCTGACCTCGAAATGAAGACTCACATGGACAGGGTGGCGTCACCACAGAGATGTACGATATTGGTTTTTGCTTTGCTAATGCACATGTTGCACTCCCAAGACACTCTTCACATAATCCCTCAGGGTCAGCAGGTTTCCTGTCTGAAATAATGAAGCTTAATGAAAGCAACACAACATGCAGTTATTGCTCTAGCTTGTAGTCTTTGTTTCTCCGTGCTTTAGATAAGAGTAGGTACAGCTACTGCAGGAAACCCATCAGGGAACCCGTATCTAACACAGGCTGATGTGTTTCCTGGAGTAGCTGGTCAAACCAAGCTGTCATCACATGAAGAGTGGCTGAGATGTGGATATTTTTAGACTTGATGTCAGTATGTGACAGAGACTATCTCAGTATTTTCTATGAAATCAAGTGTGATATGTTTATTAAAACAGTGTGATTAATAAATAAAGCAAAAAAATATAATTATTTGGTAGTGATAAGGTTTTACAGTATATCACAGCATTACTGCATGACTGAGACATTACAGATGAAATCATCATTATATACAGTTATTAAATATTTGGCACGGGTGCGTTCACACCGAAGGTGAAGCAGGATTTCTCCTTCTGTTATTTGCATGAGTACAGCAGGGTTGCATACCCACGAATATTCAGCCAGTGAGGTAAGGAGGAAAAGCTACGTCAGGCTGCAGTTGCACATCTTAAAAAGTCCTGTAATCGCACACTTTTCTCTGAAACCTCTTTTATTCCTGTCAATAGAAAACTGAAATTGAACCAGTCTGCTCCACCAGTCCTTCGGCTGCATCCGTAAGCCCCGCCCTCAGTGAAATGAAGCCACGAAATGAAGCAAAACAAGTCAAACTGTCTAAAAGTAGATGGCCAGCAGCTGCCTGATCTGAGCCTGTAGCTGCAGAAGCTTCACGTGATGGCAGCATCCATGTAAAACAATGGGTTAAATATTAATTGCATCTACCGGAGGTCTGGTTAGGTGTTACCCTGATTTTTGATGTTGGCAGATATATGAGCACTATGGTGTGTCTACTCTTGTGTGACTGGGTGTCCAGAGGGCAGCCGTCATTGCTAAAGCACTCCTGATGAAGCAGAGCACAGAAAGAAGACTACTCTTCAGCTCTTGTTTCCAGGAAGCTCTTGCATGCACTGGTGAGCAGTCATCCAACTGCAGATGGACTGAGCCATCTGTCCGTGAGGATTTTTACAGGGACAAATGCAGACAAACAAGGTGTTCAAGGCAGTATTCAGCCCTTACCCATCTACTGGTTAAACACCGTCTGGTGGATTTGCTCATTTAGTTCAGCTCATGTTTGCTGCTGACAACTGTAAGACTCGGGCACTTAAACCACCGGACTCTGTGAAATGGGGCTTGTTCATTCAGTCATCTGTGGACCAGTCCAAGGGTTTCAATAGGGCTTGACACTGCTGTCAGTTTTTCTGCTTAAGTTAGCTTTGAGTAAAGTAAAGATTCAGCCTTTATCTCCTTCCTGCTGCTTTAAACTACAAGGTGAACCTGAAGTACTTGGAAAAGTGTATGAACAGAGACTTCAGGTGGTTGCTATCCAAACAAACCTGAGACTCCTGCATGTGCAGCCAGCACTGCAGTTCCTCTGATGTCCACTTGAGGCTCCAGCAGTAAATCAGTCCCTACAGACTCCCAATGTTGAAGTGTTTACAGCAGAAGTCCTGATGCTCTCTGTGGAGGTTACTATGTAGTACTATTTGACAGGTTTCTCTGTGGGAAGGATTTAGCTTTACTGCAGTTGTACACAAATACAAATACACACCACCAAATGACAATGGAAATCTGCACGAAACAAAGAGTTAAATATGGTACAACCAGAATTTTAAACTCATGATCTAAGATGACTTAAAACATCCAGAAGCAGGTTTAGGTAGAAGTAACTGCTTCCTCCTTTATTGATTAGCATTATCAGTGATATCAGCTCTTAAAGATAAAGTTGAGAGGCTTGTGTCAGTTATGTGAGCTTGATTGAAAGCATCCTTATGTTCAATAATTCAGTCTGGTATGGTAACCTGACTGGGGGAATTAAGAACAAACTGAACAGGATTGTTAGAGCTGCTGGAAAAATTACTGGTTGACAACAAATTTCATTGGTTAAGCTGCATCATCAGGCTGTTTTAAGGAAAGCCCAGCCTATTTTTGATGACCATGAACACCCTCTTCATTCTGAATTTGAATTAATCGCCTCAGGATAATGGTTCAGGACACCTTTAGCTAGTAAAAAGGTGTATAAGGGATCATTTATGCCAACAGCGATATTTAGATGCTGTGATGTATATTGAACACGAGAAACCAATGAGCGGCGTAACAGTGGCTAGATCCATGTCGATGTCCAGTCTGTGGTCACATCCTGTTTAAACCTCTTCTGTGATGGATGCTCTGGTAGATGACTTGAGAATCCCAAGTGGAGATTTATTAGTTTTGATAAATGAATGAATTCAAAAGTTAAATGGGCCTCATCATGACTAATGAACCCACACTGATGTGTGGAGTTTAATTACATGAAGCCGCCCTCGTGTTTTCTGCCGGCTCTGCACAAAATGCCGCCATGTGGCTGCTGCAAGTTTCAGAGCAGAAAGATCTCAGTGCAAACCCCTCCTCCACAGAGTCTGAATGACTGCTCAGCAGCGTGAAACACATCAGAGGGCAGGTTGTGCTTAAGAGTGCCTCAGATTAGCACATGTCAGAGTGGAGACTTTATCTTAGATGCATATCGCATGCAAGTTTCCTTTCGACTGTGTGCTGTTCTTATTGTTGCTGCGCGTGCAGAGGCAGATGTCGGGTCAATAAATCTCTTGAATCATGCATGCCCGACTGACGGCATTTCAGTCGATCTGGGTGTGTTTGCACACGTTTGGCTGTCGTTACCTCGGCTGAATGTGGAGTGTTTACTCTGTGGAGAACAGGAAGAGATGACAGGAAGGCAGGGAGGAGCGCAGGGTGAATCCTGGGATTTTAAATGGTGATGTGGCTGTTGGCAGAGCTAAATCTAGTCTGTGCAGTGCAAAGTTTTGGTGGCTCATTTATTTATTTCCAGGTTAAATTTGTTGGTGTCTTGAAAAAAATCCAGATGTTTGAATGCTTCTCTGTGCCGAGCTAACTTTACTCTTCTGCTGCGGTGTCATCCTGGCGTGTGAACGAGCCACAGTGTTGGTTTTATTAATCCAAGAGCCTCCGAGGGCTGGACGGGACCAAAGACGGGAGAATTCCTGGAATTTAGGTCACCACCAAACCTGTGTGCAGCGGTCACGTAGTTTGGGGGTTTATGTAATTATAGATACTTCTATTGCAACATTATTTAAATGGAGACAGTGTACACTGTTTAATGCATTCACTCAATTCAGTGAATAAGGAAAAAGTATAAATGTGCATGGACTTAACCATTGCACCAGAATATGGCACCACATACACACAAGGACAAACTCACCAGACAGTTTATTAGATGCACCTTGTTAAAACTGGATTTGCCCACTTTTGCCCTCAGATATAATTTCACAAGATCACAGCACAAATTCAACAAGTTGCTGGAAACATTGCTCAGGAATTTTGCTGAGCAATGTTGCTGCAGATTCATGATGTCAGTCTGCCATTCCATCGCATCCCAAATATGCTCTATTGGATTGAGCTGTACCAAATATTCCTCTAAAGCGCGTCTTCTCTTCCTTCCAAAACCATTTAAGATAAGATAAGAAGAACTTAATTTATCCCGAGGGAAATTCTTTTGTCATACACATGCACAATGCAGCAAGAGAGACAGGAACAGAGTAATAAGATATACAATATGTACAATAGAATACAAGTATACAGTAATATGCATTAGGATAGTGCAAAATATAATATCGAATAACTGTAGCAAGTAACAGTATAACTATATCCTGAAAAATAAATAGCTTAGCTATCAGTGCAGGTGATTGTAAAAGTGACATAGTTTTGTGCAAATAGATACAAGAGTAGCAGCATATGATGGGGAGATGAAACAAACATTCAATGAAAAAACTGTTGGGTGATATTGCACGGTCTGAATGGGAACAGAATAGCTTGTTATTAATCTTCAGGAAAATCACCTACAGAGTGAGGAAGAGTTGTATAATTTTATTGCCTCCGGTACAAAGGATTTTCTGTGGCCGTCAGTTCTGCATTTCAGGGCAATGAGTCTTTTGCTGCGTGTGCTCCGATGATCCATCATGGAGGCGTGCATGGGGTGGGAGGGGTTGTCCATGATACAAAGAAGCCTTTTTAGCATTCTCCTCTCGGACACCTCCTCTAGGTTCTCCAGTCTGACACCCAGGACAGAACCAGCCTTTTTAATCAGTTTGTTCAGCCTGTTGGCATCGGCTGTCTTCACCCCACTGCCCCAGCACAGCTGCAAAGAACACAACACTCTCTACCACAGAGTGATAGAACATTGTCAACATTTTCCTACAAACATTAAACGACCTGAGCCGCCAAAATAGGAAAGTAATTTTCAACTGTAGAGAGCATGTTAGACAGGCTGCCATCCGAGACGGCGCCGGAATTATCAATTTAAACTTTGTCTCTGATACAAACAGTCATATTGTTTATCAGAATCAGAATCAGAAAGGGTTTATTGCCAGATGTTGAGCAGGTTTACAACATTAGGAAATTGCTGCGGTGCTTCAGTGCAACATACTGTCATAAAAATATAAAATAAGAATAAGAATTAAAGTGCTAAGTGGATAGATATATACATGATATATACATGAGTGCAGGTGGTGATCAGTGCCAAGCATGTAATGATGCAGTGACACAGCGTAGGGTCATGTGTTTGTGGCGGGGACAGTCATATGGTTATTGTTCATGTGTCCGACAGCAGAGGGGAAGAAACTGTTCTTATGGCGAGAGGTTCTGGTGCGAATGGACCGTAGCCTCCTGCCTGAGGGGAGCAGGTCAAACAGACTGTGTCCAGGGTGAGAAGGGTCAGCTGAGATCCGAGCTGCACGCCGCAATGTCCATCTGTCCATCATTATAGTACATCTGTCATCTCATCTCCTCATGAATCATCATCATTGCTGTTTCATTTACATCTATAAAAGGATAGACTCAGTAATGTGGCGTTTTATAAAGAGTAAAGCCGTTTTTCAGATTTACTGTATAAACAAACACACACACCTTTTGTCACTAACGCTTGGCCTGCTTATTTCTATTAGATCCGTCACTAATGTGTAAATGGCTGTATCAACAGCCAAAGATAAGCTCTGTGTTTACACTGGCTTGAAAAGTGAGAATACTAGTGTGGTTTGTGTTAAAGGGCGATTCTGCTGTGTGTCAACGACCCTGAGAGGCTGCAGTTACTTTATATCAGAGCTTGTGTGTAAAGTGCTTTTAGGTGGCGATACTGCTTTGGGGACTTAATCATTGCCTCCTTTCTGTCTTTTCTTTCTATCCCAGGAGAAGAAACGCAGGGATTCTCCCGAGTTTGGAGGATTTGCTTTTCTACACAGTGGCCGAAGGTCAAGAGACGATTCCTGCTCACAAATTTCTCACAGTAAGTCCTTCAGATTCTGCTTGGTCACATACATTCAGAGTTATTATGGTGCACTGCAACTGGGTGTTAGGAGACATGTTACTTAATTGAAATAAATAAATTAAAACATAGAAACTAGAAACCTGCTGGTTGGCTGTAAACTGACATTTTTCACTCCTAGTATTCATGTGAATATTTCATCCAAACAGTTTTGACTTCTGTGTTAAAAATGTGAAAATATTCACCAAAAACTTCTTTGTTTAATTAATTTTAGGCACTGAAAGCCACGGGGCTTCGTTCCGGAGATCCCCGACTGAAGGAGTGCATGGAAACACTGAAAGAAACTCTAAAGAAGACTTCAGATGGCGTTACACTGGACAGGCACCTTTTCAAGAAGTGAGGCTGCTTGTTATGGTGTTATTTATTTTTTATCTCCACCTTTTTCTTCATTTTTTCAAGGAAACTGCACTGACAGCAGCCTCAAAAAGAATTCAGCACATGTTGATGGTCATGTGTTATTAATAAGCAAATTCAAGTATTTGAATTTCCTTATTATATGAGTACAAAAATATATTCATCAAGTGTGAAGTAGGCAGTTGATTGTGCAGAATTAGTTTAGCTTTTCATTCACAAGGGCTGCTCGATCAGTTATTTAACGCTATCAGTTACTCACTTTAAAGCATTCGTTTTTCTTCTTTTTTTTTTTTTTTAAAAGGATTTCCTTAAAATTAACATATTTAGCAATAATTTGCTGCAGTGAGTGAAAGCCTTCATTTCATTGTAGCATGAGTGAAAATTAAGTTTTCTCCGGCTTTCAGGAGGGGTGAAAGCACACCGCTGTAAATAAGGTGGTGCGCTTGATTTGTAACCCAAAGTGAACAGAATGTGAAATTGTGACTGTTTTTTGGTCTTTCTAATTGTCAGCCAGAAATTACTGAACATTTTCTTCATGCTTGCAAGCAGCATTAGAAAAACAAGGGAGTTTTTCATTCTCATTCTCGAGTGAGCTACTGTCACCGATGACATATTACCTACTTCAAAGTAGGAATATATTGAAAGAAGGCGCCAGGAGCAGCAATAACAGTGACACAGCACAAGTAAAATGTGAGCACAAAAGTAGCACAGGCAGTGTTTTCCCTGGAAATTTTAAGTAAAAGTAAAAAATAACTGCTTAACAATAACTGAAATAACTTAACCCTGTAACTCGTCAGGTGCTACACAACATTGTCACATAGTGAAAGTGAAAATATTTTCTATCAGGGACAGTTTATTTTGGGTTGAGCTTTTTAAAGGGACAGAGTTAGTATTTTTTTAAGTACTCATAGTATAAATATATACAGATATGTATTAATGTGCAAATTATGTCTTCCAACAAATTGATGTGTTTCATAAACTTACATTTAATCCATTAAAAATATAGGAATGGGTTTGTGGTTTGTGGAAGCCGCCATGTTCCTCCACTATATTTAAATTCAGTGGCTGGGAAGTACATCAAGGTGGAGGAGGAGAGAGGTCGTAGGCGTTCATGTGCTCGTATAGCTCTTTAATTTCTGCCTGCACTTTCAGACTCAAGATATGAAGCATCTTAACTATGTGTTGTTGGGGAAGGGGTCCCATTCACCAAAGAAACAAAAGCACAAAGGAAACATAACACCGCCAGCATCTTAATAAAATGTTGTCCTCTTCCTCCTCACCTCAAACTCATCTCCTGAAGTCACGTCACTAACACACAAAACGTGCGATGTATGGAACAGCCCTCGTTTATAAGATTTGGGGGTTTGATTCAAACATAGTTGTCAGTTAAACTGATCCATCCCAGCTGGCGCTGCTGCTTAGCTTTGGTTACTTCCTTCATGGTTTTACAGTGTGTGAAATCTCTCATTCATCAGTGTGTGCGCTCATGTTGGATCAGGCTCCTTCCAGGACAAAATGAGCTGCTGATCAAACGGTTCTGATGAAGCTTCTTCATCAAACACGTCACAAAAGTTTGTCAGACTTCAGGGTTGCAAACTTTACCTCCAGTTGCATGCAGTCCCGATGTTTTAGCATGCTTTCTGTGATTTATTCATCAGGTGTGTCCAGAGCAACATTGTCCTGCTCACTCAGGCCTTCCGCAAGAAGTTCGTCATCCCAGACTTCCAGTCCTTCACCTCCCATATTGATGAGCTGTATGAGAATGCCAAAAATCTCACTGGAGGGCAGGTGTGTCCTTAGATCCATGGATTTTTCTTTCTCTCTGCATCATGGTTATAATTTAGCCATTACCATCAGTCTCTTCTCAGGTGCAGTCGAAAGTTTGGATCAGTCGAGCCTCGGAGGGAAAAATCTGCCCTCAGACGAGTTAAAGGGATCTTTGAGGCCACTGTGAGCTAGCTGTCACTTTCGCAGAAGAGTGCAGGATTTTCACTGGCAGCATATTTCTGTTTGCGTCATCTGTTTGGCGCTCGCTGTGAAAACGTTCAGGCATTCAAAACAAAGTCAGCAAAGTCATAAAAAGGAGAAATATCGGCTAATATCCCTAAATTAAACGGAAAACTAACAATCTAATAGAGGGCTGTTTACTCCAGCAGGGTTGTAGGAGGGAGGATGTTTGACCTGTTGAACTAAAACAATTTTTAAAAAAGCAGAGGCGAAATTAGTGGCTGTGTTTAGTCAGTTTGCAAACATCCATCTATCAGAAATACAGACTCAGCCCAGGTTATAGTGGTCTGTATTTATAAGGTGTCACATCAGATAAATGACCCGTTCCTTGTTCCTTTGAACAAAGAGGAAATAATCACTAACAAAAGAAAGACTTAAATAAAATATCATCCTAAATTTAAACATCAGTATCAATTCACAATTTCAGTCGCTGCTTCCCTAGCTGTGTTTTCCTGTTTGTAAAAGTCTTCTCTGTAGAAAAATGGCAGCTTCTAAGCCAAACTGGTGCTCTGCTAGACCAGATGAAGACTTTCTTTTTATTTGATAAGAATCTGATCTGATGTTTCCAGCTCATGTTTTTATTCCTGGACTCTTCTAGAGCAGTTTTGCATGATTATTAGTTTAAAGCGATCCTTATATATCTTATATTGGGCTTCTGTGCTAACCTGAAACATTTAAGCCAAGAGTAGAAAGAACTATTTAAAACGGACTCTTTAGAGCTTTTAACTCACAGAAACTACAGGTGTTTGCCGTGTTTAATATGAAACTGTTTTTAAAAGGGGCCTTGTTAGTCTGAATAATAAGAGTGCAGGAAGTGAGCCACTGTCATGATGGTAGCTGAAGGTAAATTAGCATGTTGTCCTAATTTAACTTATTTTGAATGACCGAGGGTGGATTCTTCCTTCTGAGGTTTGTTATTGTGTATTACCAGCTCTGTGTGTGTGCTGTGTGCTGAAGCCTGAGCCTCGGCAGACGTCAGCAGTGTAAGGTGACCTGCCTCCTCTCTCACCTGCCTGCCCTCTCTTTCAGGTTGCAGACTACATTCCTCAGCTGGCCAAGTTCAGCCCCGACCTGTGGGCGGTTTCTCTGTGCACGGTGGACGGGCAGAGGTGAGACGCT